ACCCCCCCCCCCCGCCGATAGCGCAAGGCTTTATTTGGTGCTCTTTAAAGCCTCAAATGCTGTCTAAATAGCACCCGAGTTTGCCACACAAATGCCAGTACACCGTGGCGTACGATAAACACGCGAAGGGGAGCCTTTTAGGTTAACCGCTTCACTCTCCGTGGTTGCATATTGAATATTGACCAGAAGGCCTTCCCTCGATCTAGCGGCAGCCAACGTCCTGGATCGTGCCGTCTCTCTCTAGGGTGTGGTGCAGGCGGGCCGCTGTCCTTCGAACGGGGTGAAGTTGATCACTTCCCCGCCGTGTCCACCGGCTGCGTTTGCTTCCGCTGTTTCTTTTTTTATCGCGCGTTCGATTTGGGGTCCTGGGCACACAGCCGTGGGACGAGGAGAAGATCAAGGACTTCTACGCGAAAGACTTTGGGGTCACTTTCCCGCTCACGTCGAAGGTGTGTGTATGTGTGTGGCACACCTTTTGGTACGCTGTTCTGTTGCACAAATCGTGGTCGCAAAGGAAGGAAGGCCACGCAAGGCTCTCTGTTCTCCACCCCGAGCTAGCTGCAACCGACGTCCTGGATCGTGCATCGACTGTATCTGTGTTTTCATCTCGAGAAGGGTTTAGCTGTATCTGCTGCCTCATCGACCGTACGTAGCATTTTGTGTACACACGAATCATTCGCGCGGCGCCGATTCGGGCCCACGTCCCGAACGTCGGCAAGTTGCGAGAATGCCCCCTAAACGGCTTGGGTTACAAGTCGCAGACCCGGTGGATTAACTGCCGTCATGGACGACGGACCGACGGTTTTTATGCGGCAAACGCCGTGAGCGGATGAATTCTGAAGCGACCGCGCTTGTCGTTTCTGTCCCGTACCACTTACTACATGCACCGCATGCGGCAATGCTCCCCCCCCGCGCTCGATAGATGCCCCGCTCGATTACACTTCAACGTCGAAAAAGATAGTTTTAGAACTGGCGCCCCGCGACTCTTGTCCTCAGCGACCCAGTTCCTGTGTTGGCCACCTCTTTGTTGTGGATCAACACAGCGTTAGCGATAGACGGACATGTGAAGAGTGGTTTCGGGACGACATGCCTTGCAGTTTCACGCGTGCGCGGATAAGCATAAACGATGAGAGATACATTGGTAGTTCGTATGTTGCGTTCTTTGTTAGGGGGACTGAGTACCCGAATTTCAGGTTTCATCCTTGCGTCAAACACCGAGCTCCAACGTGCACAGGTCTTTTGGATTCAAGCGTCGTCGTACCACCCCCTTTCCCCACTCCTGAACCCCCCCTCTTCCGACCACCCCTGCCGCCGCCGCGTGTTCCCCGCCGCTGCCATTTTGCCCAGACTGTAGTGGTGGGACCAGAGGCTCACCCGCTCTACTCGGCGGTCATCGCTGAGTTTGGCCAAGACGTTGGACCGCAGTGAGTGTTTGGTTGTGACATGCTGCACGCCGTCTGTTTGCCTGGTCAACTCATAATCATTCTCTTTTGTCGCGGAGCGGGTGGGTGCGTGTTATTTTTTGCCGCGCACTGCTTATCTGAAGGCCACGCTTCTTTTGGTCGGAGGTTGGTCCTCCCCTTTGTTAGCCTTGCGCCCGGGCTGTCCGTGGTGCTCAAGGTGCTTCATTTTGCCTGGTTCAGGTGTCTCATGGTAGTCAAGGTAAACAAGCGCCGGGACGGGGATGCTTGCATTCTTTACAATAGGGTTGGCAACACTACTAGACAGGCACCACCACCCTGGGACAAGCGGTCGTGTCTGAAGTTTGAAAGTCGTGTGGACCGGAGTGAAATCGAACCCTTCTTAGGGTAGTTCAATATCGAGCATTCGCTCAGTGTCGCTGTTTCTATCCATATCTTGGAAGAGCCTCCAGAAATGACCAGAGATACGTGTACGTAGCTGTGCTCTGCTGTTCGTCAAGCTCGTTTTCCTTTTCTTCTCGTTCGACGTTTCCGTGTGGCTCGTGGACCGTTTTTTTCTCCGCAGATGGAACTTTCATAAACTGCTGGTGGGTGCCGACGGCGCTCTCGCAGGGGTGAGTGCAACCGGGTCCAAGTACTTGTGTTTGAATCGTTTCCGAAACCCACCGGGCCCTTTCTAGATCCCAAGGAAATAAACGCAACGATTGTGGGGCAAGTGCTAGTCCACCCACGGGAAGTTCTTCACTAGATTGATCTACCAACGGCGTGGTTGTTTATTGCACGCGGGTTGACATGGGACCGAGTGCGCTTAGACTACGCATTGTGCGGGGGAATCAAGCGAGAGCCCAAAAAAATAATCAACACGCGTAGGCCCACAAACCGAAAAACTGGGTCCGCGGGGAGCGGGTGTACAAATGTAAACGCATGCCGTTGTCTTGAAACCGTTGACCACGCGTCCCCGGGAGGATGGAGAAATGTTCCCACAGGAGGACCGGTCACCGATGACCAATCATTCGTTCTAACTTTGGCAAAGGTGGCTCAACAACGGTTCCCTAGCCTGTCTGTCCTATCGATATCACTTCCAGTCTTTTTCAACCCACTTCCTATGCCCCAGTATAGCTGCCGCCTTCTCCTGGCTATTCCATGCCTCACACATCTCTGTACCTTCCTGCTGTTTGTCTCACCTAAGTCCCCTACATGAACCCGGCCTTCGCACTCGGAGGCGCGTTCACACGTGAACATCTCGTCATCATCGTCTACCCTCCTATATCTTCGTCTGCGTTCTCGAAGGCCGATGTCCCGAGCCCTGTTTGACCTTTTTCCGTTGTGCCTCCATCCATTGCTCGATGTAGGTACTCCGTGAGCCATCTAGACCCTCCCTTGGTTCCTTGGGATAGATCATGTTCTCTCTCGGCAACAGCAACATCTATCGTTTTCTTGAACCCCTCTAGGCATACCGTTGTCAACGTATCAACTTCGTCAATTCGAACGCCTTCCATACACCCATTACAACCCTAGCCCACTCGGTGTGTTGTCTACCCTTGGTCTTGTTTGCCCACTTTGCCTCCCAAGCCATTCTCGGCAACCTCTCCTCTCCCGTATCGTGCAACAGGCACTACCGTACCATTTTAGCTTCGCTGCGTCTCTTCCCGATGCTAGCGATTGGATCCCCAGTTCTGCCCTTACTGCTGCATTCCTTGTGCGCTTGGAGCATCCTAGGATTTCACTGCCTTAATGGTGCGCTGCCTCCAGTCCTTTCCATACTTGTCCGACGTATTTGAGTGGTGGGAAGACCACACTCACTCTGCTAAACTGTCAATTTGATGCGTGTATCGTGCTGCCGGTTTGCGAGTATTGGGTGCGACTTTCCGGCTCGCGCTTTCCCCTTTGCCTCTACTTTGGACATGTGTGCGTTCCATGTACAGTATTTCGCGATCTCTACTCCACTCCGAGATACGTGTCCTGATCCACTACTTGCAGCTCGTTTATCCCCCACTTCCACCTATACTTTACTGGCCTCTGCCTGTCCTCGTTGCACAACCTTTTACGGCACACTTCTCGACGTTGGCAGAATCCTTCGCTTCGTTTATTTGCACTTGAAGTCCCTCAGGGGTATTAGACTAGCCATCCGAACAATTTTTCCGCAAACAGCATTCCGGACACGGAAGTCTGCGCTACGTTCACCCCTTCCCAACTGCCTCTACGGCTTTCAACACGTCTTGGGGGGCGGGGGGGGGGGGGGGGGG